GATATTCGGAGTTCTTCCATTTTCGAATAAAATTCGAAACTCGAATAATCAAAAAACGGGGTTTCGAATAAAATTCGAAAACTCGAATAATCAAAAAAAAGAGGTTTCGAATATTATTCGAAAACTCGAATAATCAAAAAACGAGGTTTCGAATATTATTCGAAAACTCGAATAATCAAAAAACGGGGTTTCGAATAGATTTTATTCGAATGTTTTACTCGAATGTTTATTCGAGTTCGTATTCGAATGTACTCCGTATTCAGATTATTCGACTTTGTTGCAGAGCCAACTGCTGAGTATCAAGCTCACTTCGTCCGCGTTTTTTTTTTCTCGCAAAACTCAGTAATGCATCTTTTGCAACCGGTATACCTTTGAACTGTGTGGAGAGTAGAATCTTCCGACTGCTTACGACAGTAAATAAATCATATGTGGATTTTAATTGATGTTTTTTCGATCAATGAGATTGTTCGCACTGCTATTGGCACCAAATCAGCAAAGAAGATATCAGATTCAACCTCATGTTCTGATTCATACTGGAGAAATGCCTGTTTTTCTTCCTTTGCATTGCTCATGCTTTACGCAAAGTCCACACTAGTGAGCAGTCTTGCTCGCGTAAGTTATATTGCACAACTGCCTCTATTCGCTATCTTAGAGATGTTTTGCGAATTGGCGTATTTTGAATAAAGGAATCGCAGTTGTAGTGCGGTATTAGACGGTTTAGATCGTACGCGATTTGCCAGTAACGAGATGTCTTTAAATGTAAGGCCAGTTTACCACAAACGTTTAGCGTGTACAACATACTAAAAAGATAAATGCCCTGCATTCTGTACTTTCAGAATAGGTTTTGGAGAATTTGAGTATTGCCATACCATGTCGCCACTGAAATGCCTGCAGTATGCCCGGGGTTACAGGGGCATTCGTGCTCGCTTCGCGGAGGAAACCACATGCACGACTAGCTTATACCACACAAGACGAAAGTCTCCGATGAACAGACAATGTATCGTAGCATTTGTGGAATTTAAGTACATATGTGGCCACCTTATTGCTTCAAGAGATCGCACATCTAGCGCTATTAAATCCGAACAGCTCGTTAGGTGCTTACACCAAGTTGAATGTTTCTCAGTTTCAGATTTCAGTTTTAGCCAATTTTATCTGTTACTCTGCTAAACGTCTTTGAAATCTGGTGAAAGCCTGACAAATAGGGTGTGCTGTCGAACAACGCTGCAGAAACAAGGTGTACAAATGCTGTTCTCACCCGATTTTTGGAGAACTTTGAGCTACGATGTTGCTAGTTGATACAAGGGGGTAAGTGAGGGTGCTGATTATGAACAAAAATATGCTTTGTCGATTTTATCGATTTCTGGAAAATCTTGAGCTACGAGGTTGGGAGTTGGTACAAGGGGGTAAGTGAGGGTGCTGATTAAAACCGAAATCTATTTTATTGATTTCAGCAATTTTTGGAGAATTTTGGGCTAGGAATTGGTATAGGGGATACTAGGGGGCTAATTACGATTGGATCGGCTTTAGCCAGATATGTCGGCAAGTTTGAGATGTGATTGCTTTAGTTATTCGATAAATCATTCGAATAATTATTCGAAATTCGACTTCCAATGTTCGAATATATTCGATATTCATTCATTCGATAATTTTGATTTTCCCAATTTGTTCAAAGTTCATTCATTCGATATTTTTGATTTTCCGAATTTATTCGAAATTCATTCAATCGATATTTTTGATTTTCCGAATTTATTCGATATTCGTTTATTCGAGATTTTTTATTTTCGAATTTATTCGATATTCATTCATTCGATGAAAAATTATCGAATTACCCAATACAAGCCATCTGAGTATCTAAATAAGTAAGTAGTATAAGCTGTAGATCCCGAGAAGTAGTACTGGTCTTTCTGAAGAACTAGCGCTTCTAAGGCCCGTATGCACGTACATCACTGCTGAGGAGGGGAGGGGATCTGAGAGGGGATGCGTCATATCTCGCTATTCTACGTATCTTTCTTCTTTCTCTATCTAGCTTATGAAGTTCTTCATACAGTTTCATGGAAATGAATGGAAAGATATTCATAGTACAACTCGCATGCAAAGTACAGGTGAATCCAAGAAGTGCTGGACAACTTCAATGCGCTTCTCTTCATAAGGCCAGAAAATTCAGCGCTTTCGCAATGAGAACGTGTTCATGTTCAACAACACTCAAAAAGCTCCTGCACATGCAACTTCGGAAACATTGCAAAGCTGATGAAAGTCTCGCGCCTTTCACAAACATCAAGAAACTTTATGATTTATCCGGAACGTAAGATGCTGTATGCTAAATTGATCTTGTTTAATGCTTCAGTTGCACATCGTTGCTAACAGCCTGAAGATAACATGTCGACAAACAAACACTTCTTGCGAAACGATTGCCAGTGACGCAGAAGGATGCTACAACTGTATGACAGACGCTGGGATTACATATCTAGGCAAGAGCAAATCGGGTAACACCTTAGCCGGTCGCTTGCGCTGTAAAGAATCAAGTAGCGCAATGCACGATAAGGGGACACGTTAAGAATTTACGCTTCCAGTTCAATATATCCGAAATCGCAATGAGCTTCAAGGTGACTGGTCCAGCCGTACAAACAATCAAAATTCAAGAACACCTTCAGTACATTGAGCAAGACTCAATAGCCTGTGATATCGGGGAACTCTGTCAAAGATAAAAACTATTAGAAACTTCCTCACAATTTCACCTGATCTTGTACTTAACCAGATAGGAAATTCATGAGCATTTTCTCATTAACATTCAAATTTATTACTTTCGTAATATTTCTTCGAATATCCCTTATCCTATATCATCTTCCTCTTGCCTATCTGCGTTATTCCCCACGTCGTTTTCGTTACAAACGACTTTAGACCTTCTCATAGCCATTACCTCTGCTTTCTGTGGGGATTTTTTGATTCTCAAAAATATCATCTTTAGCCATCAAACATAATTAGGTGTTCTGCTTCTGCCTAGCTATCAACTGAACATGGCAATATCAATAATGATGTGTGTTCGATGTTTTAGAAATCTATCGCCACGTTGTCACTCATCTATATGCTCACATTATTCAACGTTTAGTGATTTGAGAATTAGCGATGTATTGTCAAGAAATCATCACAATGCACCATACGCTCATTTAAGATGCATCTTTGTTTACCTGTATAAAAGACGTTGATATATGCACATCTTCGCCTTTGCTTTGCGCAATAACCAGCCAATAGACATCCCACGTACTATCGCTGCTCGTCACCCACACTTACTGCCTGAGCCAGCAAAGTTCCTTAAAAACACATGTTCTGCCTCTATGTGCTTTGGTTTAAATAATTTGTTGATAAAGAAAGAGATTTATTACACAATGAAAAAGTATAATGTTGCCGTTGTTATTTCATACAAAAAAGTTTGCTTGCTACATCTGAGTGGTTCAAATTCTATATGAAGAGCACGATTATCAGCACGTATTCCTCTCTCTCATTCTCGGTCCCCCTCTAATCCCCTCTCTCTTTACGCTGTTTGGTAACGGTAGAATACTCGCAGACATTATTATTGAGTTGATACTCACGCCTTGCAGTAAATGTCATAAGCTTAACATTTCGAAAAAATCAAATATGTCACTATCAAACCGCTTGCACAATTTGGAGTGAACAATAACAGAGAAGCTCATTCTCTTATTGCGTTGAGGCGTTGGCGATACTTTCGGATGATGTTGCTTTGAGGTAGGCATTTGCAACTACAATGAACCATCAAGTGGACATAGGCTGCCTTAAGAGAACAAAAGAGAGTGTGAGGATGCAGAATGAAGCAGACGGAAGCGGGATGAAAGATGGAAAGCGCAGCTTATTGAAGCAGGACACGGGTCCTAACCTCCAAATAATAGGAAATTTCCCAGTTTGAACTCGTTGGCTAGCATTACGATTCCATGCATGAGCATTTTTTCTTCACTGTAATTTTTGATTTGAATGTTTAAAAGTTGAAGCAGGTATACCAAACTTTTTCTCCATGAATATCAAAAGTCCTTGATCTGTTTTTTTTCTTAGCCATGATACAGGGAACAAACATAGGCTAAAAATACAAAAATATCGCCTCTTGTTTTTTTTAAGCTAGATAAAGTGCTTGGATCCAAACAACGCTTGTAGAAGGCTAAAAGTTTATGGCCGTGCAAAGATTGTGGTATAGATCTACTTGGACTTTGACAAGAGTATGACAAATTTAAACTTTTGAAAAAGTTAATGGAACATGTACAGGGTGTCCCAAAAAGATGTGAACACTGTTTGATCGTTAGTACCCTTGCTTTTATGTCTTTCGCCGAGCTAGAGGAACCATTCTGTAGAAACGGGTTCAACTTAGAAACTCTTCATTAGTTTAGGATTACGGTATGAGTTTCGAGGAAGAGGTAGCCATTAAAAGCGATATCTGGCTTAGAAAGAAAACTAAACAAACGAAGAAAGAGAACCAAACAAACAAGAAAGTATTGATGGGCTAGTGAAACTCGCTAATTCTATAAAATTTGCTTCACTGTGGTGCTTCTTTTATAAGCTATTTCATATTTAGGGTAACAACTGTTTTTCCAATGTCTTCAGAAATGTGATTATACCATTGAAAAGGCTCGAAAACTGGTAAAAAGTTGTGCAGTGAAATCAGCACGCCTGAAAACCTTGCTACACAAATTTTCGATTCTTTGAAATTTTTTTTTCATCAAAAGTCCTATTCCACAGTAGCGCGATATGCTGAACGTTCACACCGTAAACCAACAGTAATAGAGTGACTGGTGATTCGACATCATGTATAAATATAGGTGTGTTTTTACATTCTAAAAATTTTTTATCTTGGCTTTGAACCGTGATTGAATCTCTGTGCGAATATTTCGTGATATAATAAGCTTTGGTAGTTTTGAAGGTGTTAGGCTTTCTTAGAAAATTTTAACCGAATGTAAAGAGAACGTAGGCATTGAGTACGAAGTTCTTGTTCTTTGCAGTCAGCTACATCAATGTGGTTTTTGAAGACATTCATTCTTGCCGTGCTGCTTACAGTTCCGTCATCGCAATGGGATAAGGGCCAATATGTATGTTTCTCCTCTTCTTGTTTGAATTACATTTTATTGTTCATCGTTTTCACTTCCATCACGAAGTGAAAACGATGAACAATAAAAGTGACAACAATTTTCGAAGTGACGGCATGTTTTGTTTTGCAGTGCTTCCGGGAATGCTACACCCGCTATGTCGATACTAAAGCCGCCGAGTGTTATAAAGCCTGCATGAGTAGATGATTCATGGAACATTTGACTTTCACTCGATAGTTTCATGAACTGTTTACATGATTAGTAAAGTTGCAAATGTGGATCAATCTTTACTGGCTTGCAAATCTGGATATAAGAGATTGTCTTTCAAAAGGCTTTATATTTGCTTTGTAAGCATCATTTATAGAGGATCCATGCAGGGACCCCTGCAAAAAAAGTGTTCCTATGGTTTCTCTCAGAACATCTCTTGCCCCGACGTCCTTCGTCAATCGTACATATTGTAAAGCTGGCTTCAACTTACAAGGGACCGTGTCGAGTCGAAGTGGCCTTTCCAGATAAGACCCATACTGCTTTGAAGAGCATTAATCGGTAATTCCAAATCTGCTTTCCAAATCTGCCAAGCGCCTCTGGACGCCGAGTTATGCTCGTTTTTCAGGTCAAAAAATTGAACGCAGAACTGAAGCAAAATCGCCCAAATTTGCTCAAATGGTCCAGTGTCAAGTATCATAGCTATTTATGCAATGGATACATTTTATTTGATGTGCTAATACTTAACATTGCTTCATATGAGCGCTGAAAAGATTGTAACTATCAATTTTACCTAAATTCTGCATTCATTTTTTGTTCCGAAGAACGGTCATAACTCGGCGTCCAGAGGCGCTTGGCAGATTTGGAAAGCAGATTTGGAATCACCGCTTAATACTCTTCAAAGTAGTATGGGTCTCATCTGGAAAGGCCACTTCGACTCGACACGGTTTCCTTGTTAGATCTGCATATGATTCCTGGCAGATGACCCAAAGCACTTCGACGTAATATTTTCGTATAGCCAACCATATGAGTTTAGTACGTACTTTACCGGTTTTCACGGCGTGCCTTTTGCTACACATTTGCTGCTTCAACTCTTTTTACTAGTACGGCAAGAATACAAAAGTAAAGGGAGAAAACGAAGAGTAAAAAAGCTGTTGACCCATAAGATATATCGAAATGTATGAGCTGAGCTAACAAGGGAAGCATGTTCAGTCGAATTAGCCTCTTTGAATGACTGTACCATGATAGAGAGCTGAAACGCTATTATAAATCTGCCATCCTTACTGCGGAACGTCCATGGTTATGAGCTTCTAGTAAAGCACAGTATTGGACCAAAAATCTTTATTGAACCAAAGATCAAAGGTCGCTATGGTAACAGAAATAAGTTTGAACTGAATGCCCTTGCTGATTGTTAGTCAACGTTTTACAAGTTTTTGATAGATCCAAACAAAAACGGATGGGATTTTCAACACAGCTTAATAGCTTGTTAAAACACAGCACAGTTGGCAAAGATGTTGCAGACTTCCTAATCGAAGAATTCTCCAAATATCCTTTTCTGTTAAAATATAGCTAGCTCCACAAATTCTCGCTGGAGAACATTCAGATTATTTTTCATTTACTTCCTTCAATCAAAAAAGTGTGCGACCGTCGAGGTCTAGGTTACTTACGTGAAGTTCAATGGAAAGCAAATTTTTTTACAATGAGTCTCAGACCAAAAAATTGTGAGCCCCTCGCGAATAGCTGTATCGTCGTTGTACAGTCCTTATAGCAGTCGGCTAGCGTCCTCACGTAAGCTGGGTCCACTTCTTGATCGACTAGCGCAGACAAGATGGTGTTAGTTTCGACGCTGCCATAGGCTCTCGGACGAAAGTTAGGACGAGGGACAGTTGGTTTTCTCGGCAGAATTCTATGACCCTCGAAACCTCCTGCATGTGTCCATGCAACTATCCTTTGCAAAAATGTTCTTATATTGAACGGTAGTTTGAAAGATCCTCCTATTCGCCCTTCTTGAAGAGAATGCACTTTTGAAAATCCCTTCTAGTAAGATGTTAGATGCGACGCAAGAATCTCGTGTACAGGTCGTCCTCCGGCTGGCCGAACTTGATGGAAACTTGCTTTGGTCGTGGAGCCGTTGATAGCTCCATGGTTGTATCGAGAAGCGCACTTTAGCAGTCAAAATCCGTGATGGTCTCCATTGGGGACAACAAGCATCGACGCGAGTGCTGATGATCTTCGCAGTAGAGTCTATCTTACGTGGGGAAGAAATCGGACTCCCGGGTTTGTTCAGTGCAGCCAGCGGCACGTGATATTCGCAGAGCTCCCTTCGGCACTTGTTAAAACTTCGTCTTCCTTCGGCTGCTTCAAGTATCTTGACGCCTGTACTTCCTGACATCCTCCTGCAAAGCTGTCCTGCGACTGGCGCTTGATATCAGTCGCTCGAGATGACTTACACTCGGATCTTGTCTTCTTTTTTTCTTTAATCTTCTTTTTCGAGCAATTCCTTGGTTGCCTTCAACATGCGTAAGTTCTTCTCGAAAATCACTGAGGCGCACTCGCCGCAGGCTGCCGGTCATAGTCATACGTTGGGTCCGCCATTTCCATTTTGGAGCCCATATCCAAACTTCCCGATCCTATATTCCTCTTCTAATGGAATCCCGATCTTCGCATTGAGGTCGCCCACAACATACTTGTAGAAGGACTTTTCGTTGCGGACGATCTCATCCACGTCTTCGTAGAAAGCATCTAGTTCTGAATCGTCAGCTGTTAATGTTGGTGAGTAGCATTTGATGATGCTGATGCTCTTCTGACGTGGAGGTCGTAGTCGTAAGATGGCTAATGAGGTGACAGGATCTCATGGAAATCGAAGATGGAGATTGATGGGTGGACTCAACGTTTCGTGAGGAACCTTGTCACCACGAATGATGATCCCATCACTCATCTGTCGCACGTCCTTCTTCCTGGATTTCGATTCCTGCAGAGCGATGACATGGTGCTTGATGTGCCCTGCAGCGTGGAGAAGAGCGTGGAGGTCGGCGTTTGTGGAGACTGTTGTAGGTGCTGAGCATGAGGCAGTCTCCATGGCGTGGTATCGGCAGACGTGTCGTTTCTGTTCGATCCAAAAGGTGCCCTGAGAACCCTGACATTGTTCTTGTTTTCTTGTTACCCCTCGGCGCCGCAGGCGGGATCCGTGTACATTTTGTAAAAACCCTGTGCAGGCGTCGGCTGTCGGGAGATATCAAAATTAGCATTGAAAAAACAAAAAAACGATGTTTGGATTTTGCCTTATTTTTATTTATCAATTTGAATTACGAAAAAAAAACGACAAGTGTACATATGCACATCTTACGTATGTAGTACTTGCCTGACTAAGTTGAGAATTTGCAGGATCTTTTTAGAAGGAAACCTGACTTTTGGGTGTCCAAAATTTTCTAGGCTTCTTCCGCAAACTTCAGATCGAAGCTTTCGCGTTTTGTCGAACACTGTCTTGTAGAGCTTGTTCTGCTCTATCGAATGAAATATTCCAAACATTTTCATATCTTCCGCTCCATAAAAAGGAACATGCATAATTTTGCATCAACCTAACAGAACAATCTGAAAGTATCTGAGAAAAATCAGCAGCAAGGAGAACAGAATAAAAACATTCATTAAAGGCAGCGTCCACTCAAAATTTTGCCTCCCATGTTTTTGCCATTGTAGGGCCTTTCTGTGGTCTTATTACTGTTACCCTCAAAAATCCGATTTCTGGGACTCTACCTTGAGGGCGCGGAATGCCTCCAGTACACGCGGAGGACCGGGGCGAGCTTGATAGGATCTGGGAGGGGCTTGATAGCACTTCGGCTATTTGAGGGCCATTATCTCCATTCAGAGACAACATTAAAGGCAGTGTCCGGGCAAAAACTCGATTTTGAGATTTTGTGCTTACCCGGGCCTATTCGCTATGCTGAATCCGAAAATGCACATTGAAGAGCGCGAAAACGATGAAAAAAGGCTCTAACATGAGAGGGAAATCAGCAAGTGGGCGGGCGGGGTTTTCCCCACTGTGAATTCACGCTACTAGCTTCCAGAAAAAATTTCTCGAATTCATTAGCCTCCCTGATATCACTACCGATCAAGTGCAAACGAATGACTTAAAACCGGAATCAAAAAGATCACCCCCGAAGCTGGGAGCGTGAATTCACCGTGGGGAAGACCCCGCCCACTTGCTGAGTTCCCTCCAGTATTAGAGCCCTTTTTCGGCGTTTTCGCGCTCTCCAATGTGGATTTTCGAATTTAGCATAGCAAATAGGCGCGGGTAAGCACAACTCAAAATCGAGTTTTTGCCCGGACACTGCCTTTAAAGGACCGGACCAAGGCAGATGCCCCTAAAACCAACATTCATATCAGAGGGAGAGTTAGATTTGGCCTGGACACTATCTTTAAGTCAGCTCAGGTCCAGCCCCCTAATTGGATTTCAAAGAGGAGTAAGGAATTAAGCTTGCACAGACCATGTGTAAGTTTCATATAACTGTTATAGAAGCTCAATGGAGTTTGTTCCATAAAGCCTTGCCAGCAAAAGTCTTCAACTCAGTATAAGCAACTAAAAATTGGGCAAGCGGGTCTATTGGCATATCTTGTTCAACTTCGGTTGCATGTTGATACTGGCATCAAATTTGTTGAGCTCTAGCAATTTTAGACTTTTCTTAGTTATTCATACTCTCCTCGGAAATGTATCGAGAATGCGCTGTTGAGGTACAAGGCATGTATGTGTGTGTCGACTCGTTGCGAAAAACTAAAGTGCCTACTCTGGAAGAGCACAAGATCTAGAGAACTTGGGGTAAATAAATAAGGAACAATGCACCTCTGTCATATGAATTCTGCTCTTCCGTAGCGAGCTATGTCTGCACCGTAATACGTCTGCTAAAAAAATTGAGATTTTCTCGTTTTTGATCAGCAACGTTGTCTGCATTGTCTGTCTTACCCCCTAAACTTCTGAAAGAGGATGACTAAGGCATGAAGAATTACGTTATCCCCCTTGCTCTTAGTTTAATCAGTGAAGTGACCAGTAGCGAAGCGGATGAAGTGGATCAAATGACATCGCTTCGCTGATGGCCAGTTCACCAATTTGACCAATAGCGAAGTGAAGCTCAACTGGATTGAACGTAGGACGTGCCTAAAGGAGGGGGGGGGGGAGATAGGAAGGGTTTTGATATTTTTGAAAGTACCCTAAATAGGTCATAAAATTGTGAAAGTAACCTCTAATTACTCTTTGATAACTAGCATTTTTTTGAAAATCCCTCAAAAATTCAAAATAGCTTTGCAAAAGATTTTTAGGAGCGTTAACTAAAAATCCCATTTTTTAAAATTTTAAGACCATAAGATGCAACTGGAAAACACCCCAGAAGTTTCTGCAGAACCTTTCCACTGAAAATTTCTTTTATTAATCCTACTCCTCTGAGTGATGATATGGCATTCAAAGACAGTGGTTAACAAAATCGTTGCTGGAAGCTTGTCCCAAAATGACCTTCCAGCTGCACTGAGTCCAGGGTTGTGCTTGAATCTTTCATTTTGGACTTACGCCCTTTTCCCGCTGAAGCGGCGGAAGTGACATTCAGGCCAAAACGATCGGAAGGGAACTGTATGGGAGGAGCCATTCCACCACTCTGGCCGCATTGGCTGATTTTCACAATTGGCCAATCGCCCCTTAGTTGGCGGGAATCTCTTCCCCAACCCCTACAGCAATCTCCAAGGGAGAACGTTAAGAAACCTCTGACGACAGACTTCAAGCACATTCTTGGACTCAGCGCTTCCGCAAGGCTAAGAAAAACGCGCAGTAACAATTTGCCAAACCACTGCCAGTAGGAGTAATTAGATAACCGTACTCTTTGCGTTAAAGGTCTTCTGATGCCCGTTCATACATAATACGATACTGAGGTGAAACTTTATTATTTGCATGATACAATTATCTCATTCTGCTCTTTTTGATGCTATCAAACTGCGCATTTGCTCCAGCATGGCAGCTTCTTTCTTCTTGCGTTCTTCTTGTGAAAAGCCCGACAAAAGCCTCTTTTCCTCGGCAGTCAGTACCTACAGAAAAGATTTTACTAGGCAGTTGAAGCAACCCAAAGCTTTTGCATACCTGATTCTCCTTTCGTAACCGAGTAGCTTCCATTGCTTTGTGTCTTGTACCACTCATCACATATCCTACCTTCTCAAACTCACTGATCTCAGCAGAAGAAAGACCAATTTCACCTAAAGCGGATGCGTAGAAAAGAAATTTGATACAGATGAGCTATCCACAAAAACAAATTCAAGAATTGTTTAGAAGACCAGGTTCATACCTCTTCTAGGAATACGCTCTCCTCTCGCAGCGTATGCAGCCATCGCAGCTGCTTCACCCTTGAGCATGTCCTTGCCATAGCTGCAAGCGAAACGCTGTAGCTACGAATAATAGCACTACATCAAACTATGCTCTGTACATATAATAATGTCAGAAAAAATGGCCTGAAGGATGTCAGAAAAAAGGTGGACGCACTTGGCTTTGATATTGAGTCCGAGTTGATTTCTTGCACTCAAATGCTCGGGGAGAGCGGGTCCGGGCATTTCCTGCTCTTCTCGAGCCTCTCTGGCTGCTTCCTCCATACGCATATCATGCGTAACTTCCACCCACTCCTCACTGTCATCATCATCGCTATTTTTCTGAAAGTTCTGGTGGGGAATAACAAGGAGGAACAATCGTTATTCATACCTAACACTATGACAAACAGGTACCGCACAAAGACTTTACAAGCTTCAATGAAACAAATATTCAACAAATGAAATGCAACCTACGTGCTTCTTCGCTTTCTTCTTCTTTTTGTCCTTCTTCTTCTCCTTTTTCTCCTTCTTCGATTTCTTTTCCTTCTTCTTCTTTTTCTTCTTCGCTTTCTCCGAATCACTCTCTTCTGCGGACTCAGAAAGCTCAACTCCATCTGAAAACGAGCACTCGAAAAATCCCCATGTGTGGCTTGCCTCGCATACCTTTCATGAGGCCAGCACGACGCTTCTTTTCCTCAACCTTCTTCACCGCATGTCTTTCAGCTCGCAGCTTCTCGCCTTTTTCCGCTTCTTGTCGTCTGGACTCATCGAGTTCGTGGTAGCTTAAAGTTGAGTGCAGTGGTAACAAATGCGTGACTAGACCAAAGACACTAGTCGCAACGCTTTGAAAAAAAAAACTCGATATCGCTTTCATGCAACTCATCTCTGTCTCATTTTTAAAGAGAATCTTGAGTAAATCAAAACCAAAGCCCATCAAGGAAGAATGAAATTGTAGTAAACACAATTCTATCCCAGAGAAGCAGGATAGCAAAGAATAATAGGTACTTACGATGCATAGACCTTCTCAATATCAGTCTGAGTGGGTGATTGACCCCAAACCTCGAAAGCGCCTTGTTCCATGACTCTTAGTCGGCGATCTCTACGTCTGGAAGGAAAAAAGCTACACTCTTTAAAATAGAAAATTAGCGAGTAATTATAAACGATACTTCTTTATGAAAGTATTCCTGGCTGTTGTTGGACTGCGTGAACGAGACCTTGATCGCGTGACTGATCTTTTTCTTATGTTGCGTCTTTTTGGTGATGGCGAACGAGATCCGCTTCTAAATAATGAAGTTTTTCATGAAAATCCATTAAACAGACATTATGAAGTGAAACACTTCTATAGAATGACTTACTGTGGCCTCCGATCATCGTTGCGAGGGCTGTAACGTGATTCCCATCTCCTTTCCCTCGGTGAAAGATTTCTGTAGTAAAGATGACATACGCACATGTGTTCGGATGGCAAGAATGTAACTCAAACTGCAGATATTTATAACTGTTGAATAAAAATCAGCTTACTACTTTTTGTAAGATTAGATATCAAAAAGCAAATTCGAAGCAAAAGAAAAAAAAAAGAAACTATTTGATGGTACACAAGGTACACACGCAAGACGGTTACGCGTAACACTTCGGAAATAAAACCTTGCCCGTCAGGAATTTTTGTGAAAGAAATGATAGCAAGGGCATACCTATAGACGCGCCCAACTGTCCGCCTTTTGAGTAAAAAGATGCAGCCCATACAGCCAAAAAATGGTTATTTTTCTACGTAAAAAGGATTCAAACCCGTGGCGCCTCATTCTGGAGACAAAAAGTGGCAATACAAAAAAAATTGAGGAATAAAAATGTGAGGAACACTGTTGAGATACCCACCTGTTAACGTAAGAATCCCTTGAAGCGAGAGGGGATCTTGAACGTTGTCGAGAACGAGAGCGAGATCGTGATCTTTCCCTCCTACGAGGTGGGGTTATTGAGCGGCCGCTAAATTTTGAAAATTTGTTGAAAGCGGCTTTACAACTCAAAAATTAGGAAAGTGACTGAGGACTACAAGTACCGTTTATATCGGTCATCACTTAGCGGGCTCCGCCGTCTTTCGCGTCGAGGCGAGGCATAATTGCGGCTATTTCTAAATCACTCAATTTATGACCGCAGTAATTGCTTGGGAGAATGGCAGAACGCTGAACATAGCCTACTTTTGCTACACATTACATGAAATGATGAGAACATTCAAAGTGAAAAAAGCAAGAAGAGAAGTGAAAGAAAAGCAAAAAGAGAAATACAAGCTTCAAAAAATCAAAAAAAAATATTCAAACCAATATTGTATTGTCTTGAATTAGAATATTGCGAAAACTATATGCGCTGCATACCTGTGCGAATCTCTTGCAGGACTTCGTGATCTTGATCTCGAACGTGAATTGTTTCGAAGGTCTTTTCTTCTAGGAGATCTCGACCGCGATCTGCAAAAGTTAAAGAAACTGCTACTAAATTAGGCGGGAGATACACACCTGTCGTGGCTTCTATCGGAGCTGCGACGACGCTTACGTACAGGTGAGATGCTTCTTTGTCGACTCCTGCGACATATAATGATGTTTAGGGATCAGAGCTTACAAAAGTGTAAAAAACAAAGTGGAATAAACTCGGCGCCACATAATAACGTACCTGGACGATGATCTTCTTCTACCGGTTGGAGACCGAAATCTTTTTGGAGGCGACTTATCACCTTTAGCAAGAGATCTGCTTTCTGCCGGTGACCTAGTCCTGAATGAGTAAAAAGTGAGCGTATTGATATTAAATCATTAGATACAAGATACATAGAAACCGCATATTGAAAAAACGAAAACTCGTTACCTTCGCCGCTCAGGCCGCCTTTCCAAAGAATCAGATGGAGAATCCACCTCTCGAGATCTGAATCGAAACATCTGAAGAGAAGCGACTTAATTAGTTAGAAACTAAACCCACCTCCGTCGACTATGAGGCCTTCTGGGGGATTTTGAGGTAGACTTAGAGGAAGCGGGTGAATCAGCGCTAAAACACAGCAGGTCAGATCACCATCTGAATCAGATTTACAAAAACAAAGAAACCGTCGCAACATTACCTACCGCTTACGATAGCGAAAGGGAACACTGCTATCACTGCTTCTTGAACGTTCACTGGAAGAACTTTCAGCCACACTTGATGGCATTCTGCAAGGGAAGGTGTAAACGATAGAAGCAAATGAGTCTGAGATAATTCCGTCAAAAGATTCTTTAGCATTATGAGTAAAGCCGTTATTTTGACATGTAATGACTTTATATTGATATCCAGTCATATCAATATACGCCACATCAATACGTAACACAGCAATATCAATCTGCAATCTATATGTTCAAAAATGTGCCTTGTCTCACTGCTGTAATATAAAAGTCACGGCTCGCAAGCTTTGTTCAGTCTTAGGCGTAAAAAATGACACTGTACGCAATCACGGGTAACACACTGTTTTACGCCTAAATAGTTTTTGTAGGCTGCTGCATGACGAATGCGCAATATCCTCTGCCCCAATCGGAAATCAGGCCGACACGGACTCCCGCCGTGCCAAGTTTGGTCTGATCGGGTTTGTGGCAGACTATGGGCGCTATCGCGGCTTTATTAGTTGCAAAGCGCAGGGGAAGCAGAAATAACGGTGAGGATACGCGCGCGCCGCGTTCGCGTTCGCTCAACTAATACTGCTATTGCGCCTTCGTCATGCAGTAGGCTCTACCAATTTTGAGTTTGCCCATTCGCTGATTTCGATAGTTTTGGATATTAATGTATTATCGGCGCTACTCGGCTATACGGGCCTCGAATTTTTTGTGGATTTTGCTCAGACTTCGTCTGTGGGGTTTTCTGATGCTGATTACAAATTACACACTTTCTCCACATGAAAACGTCCCATTGTGGGGTTACGGTAGGTATAGGCAAGGAGCAAAAATTCTGAATCTGGTTGAAATTTGGTCCACAGAGGTTATCTGACATGCTGATCACATATACCGTAATCTTCTTCCGTTCTGAAACCATTTGTTAAGGTAAGTATTTAGTAAGGATTCAAAATTGTAGATCTGGCTGAAGATTTATGCAGGGGTTTCCTGATATGTTGATCGGATATATCAGGATCGTGCTCATTTCGCAAAAAAAAGCGGAGAAGGTGTTTATTTATACGCTGCAAATTACCACTTCACTAAAAAAGGTTGTTGTCGCGAGCGAGCATGATATGCGTAGTGAGCATGCTCAAAAACTCTCCTAGTCGAAGTTTCGACCAAATTTGAAAATTCGGCCCAATTGGCCACCAGAATTCTAGAAAATGGCACTACCTTTCAGAATAATTGCATTAGTCGTATGTTCAGCGTGTCTAGTGAACCCTGGACGAAATTTAAAGCAAATCCATGATTTTGGTGCGATACCGTATACCTACCATAACTCCATGAAGAGGCCCTACCGTGTGAAACGAGTATAACTTTCATACAGTCGAGTAGATTTAGCGGTAAATATAGTGTGCTTGCACAGAAGGTGAAATGCGGTAAAATTGGCGCGTGAAGAAATAGTTTCGACTGTGACGCCGGCCAATTGCGCGCGCAAGATACCCGCGGTACTGACGTGGCTACTTGCTCACGCGCAAATTTCACCGCATTTCACCTTCTGTGCAAGCACACTATATTTACCGCTAAATCTACTCGACTGTAATTAGCATATCAGAGACAGCCAAATTTGATTTTGATCCCTACCGTGTACCTACCGTAACCACACGGAGAAACGCTTTTGTGCAGAAAAAGTGTGTTAATCATGATCAGTATGTCAGATAATCCCCCGCTGGACCAAGTTTGAACGAAATTCGCAACAAAAAATTTCGCGGTCCGGATAGCCCACTTCAAAAGCAGGGTCAAGCGTGGGGTATGGCATGCTACACGGAGGGTCGTATTGAGGTGATACTGATGTTTGCCATGACATAAAACTCGTAAACACTCTCAGATAGGTATTATGCAAAATACTAGCACATTGATGTTTTGGTCTAGCATCGCATACCGGTAAACATAATACAAGAGACTTAAAAGCATAGGAGCATCATTTGTAATCACGTATCAAATGACCCCTGTTGGCTATTTCAGCGAATTCTGAGGTCTCCAAACATTGGGCCACAAGTCAGGGTCACTTTCGAAAATGTCAAGTTCGTTTGGAAGGTGAGTTAACTACTTCTTTTTGCACTTAATACAGAAAAGGAATCCCACTTTAGATATCCTCCAAGTATGGAATTAAGAGCAAGCCAAAATCTCATTTATCCCATATTTCGCTTTCATTCTCCCATATTAGAGAAGACCAAATCGGGCTCAAACTTTTGTGAAAGTTACGAGGTTTAAATTTTCTAACAGATTTATTTCTTGCGTTCTCTCGCGATTCACATAGTAGCACAGACTTAGCAAGACCAAGTTACCGTAACCCGATATCAATGATTCCACTTGCATAGGTAAGGAAAAACAACTACGACTTATCCTATGGGAAACGATTTTGAGTGAAATTCCTACTGTGTAGAGAAGAAGGTTTAGCAGTGGCAACTGTATAAAAATACAGAAATTTGAATGCTTTGGAGGTAAGTTATTGGGGTGACACAGTCCCTAAAAAGATGTGGCAGCCACAACTTTTTTGGGACTATACCACAACCCATTAGCTTATCTCCAAGAAGAGTTTTAGCGAATAAATTATGCAGTGTTCCAAAAACCCACCTACTGTTCGATTGTAGATAACTCTCTTGTAATCAAGTATTTCGAGAAGCATTAGGTACCATTTTGTAGAAGTCAAACTTAGATTTACAGTGTGGAGCGAATCATCTTTCCTCTTCATTATATAGGATTACGGTACGAACTTCGACAAGGATTTTAGGCCATTGGAGGCCATATTCAGCCGCGAAACAAAACCAAACAAGCCAAAAATTCTTATGCTACGGTAATGGGAGCCGCTGATTTCGAATTTGAAATTCCATCTGACTGTTTCTTTCCTAAGTTATCCCTGGTATATCGTAATAACTCAATTGCCAGCATTTGTCAGAAATGTAGTTACACCGTCAAAAAAGCTGAAACTCGTAAAAAGTTGTTAGGTGGAATCAGCATGCGCGAAAACCTCAGCTTTTTCAGATTTTTTGGAAAAAATTTTGTTAGGTGGTGTATTTCACAATGGTTCCATATGCTGGGAGTTCTTACCGTAATCCTACAGCAATGAAGAGCGATCGATGATTTGCTCCATACTGTAAATCTAACAAGGAAAGGATACTCGGTCACCGTGGCCATTTGGAATGCGATGCATACTGTAAGATGCATCACGAAACTCTGATTCCAAATCTGTGCTCAATATCTGCGAAACGATCTTCTAAAGGAAGTTAGATATGAACTTTCTTCCGTAGAAAATTTGCGTACTTTTGTGTAGTTAAAATCACAAATTTGTTTTAAGTGCTATTTGAAGCTTTTGAAGAGAATCTTAAAAGGAATACTGTTATTATATCTATCTAAATCATATTCAGCATTGAAAAGGAAAGAAAATTCTTTATTGATAATTTTGACCCTCCGCGGTAACGCAGTTTATCCATGGAAAAATGATCATAACTCCATCCAGGTTCTCCTTTCGCACCTATGGAAGACAGTATTCGAACCAGCATTAAAGGCAACGTCCAGGCAGATCTGGACCTATGAGGTTCTTACATGGAAAATACTTTTGGGCACTGCCCAACTAAGGCACTGCCCAACCGGCAGCTTAGGTAGTGCTGTAACGGCTGAGATATTCCTCTAGAAACTGGACCCCGCGATCGTATTCGCATGAATTCATGGCAGTTTTACGCCAGGATCCACGCTTTGCGCCATGAATGCATGCGAAATACGATCGCGGGGTCCAGTTTCAAGGAGGATATCTCAGCCGTTCGAGCACTACCTGAGGTGCCGGTTGGACAGTGGCTTGGTTAGGGCCCCAAAATTACTATCCATGTGAGATCCCCATGTATTCAGACTTGCTTGGACGCTGCCTTTAAAAGGCACATCTTTTGATGTACAAATTATTATGAATGGCCGCGGTGACCAAGTATCCTTTCTTTGTAAGTTTAATAAGTTTAACCCGCTTTACAATGGTACCTGAGGCTTCTCGAAACACTTCATTAGAAGAGAGTTATTTACAACAAACTTCAGATATATTTTTTGGGACACCCTGTATATAGTTCGATAGCCAAAATCTCGTAGTTTTTGTAAAAAAGATTAGAGTTGAATAAGTCCTATTTTCTCTGCGCAGTAGTTGATGGAGCACAACCACTTCAAAGGCAGTGTCTGGCAAATTTCGTTTTCCATTTTCTTACCTCAAAAGAAAGCTTGAAAACTCGCAGCTCCGAATATGTAGATTCCACGCTGTCTACTTATCCGTAAGTATTCCCACCATTCTTCACTATAAACATACTGAACAGGAACAAGAAGCTGTATAAGCCGCATTTTCTATCTTTTCATATGATCCTCTGAGAACCCGACAGCCGACCGTCTTTTCTTCAAAGACATTCTTTCCTCAGAGTTGATGAAAATATGCCAATTCACTGATTATCTAAGCAAACAGTGCTAAGCATGTTGCTGATAAGAACAAATGATGTGTTGGAGTCATGAAATTTTCGATGAACCACAAACCGAAAGTTGGGAACTACGATATTTTAACACCTTGACGACGAGCTGCTTTTTGACGTCTGTCCCTATGGACGAACCGTTTCCGGGCATCTTTACAGCTGGCTGCATATATGTATGCATGCATCTATGGTGGTAAACATGGGGCGCGGCAGCTTCGCCCATGTTTGGCAAGCCCCGTCCATTTCACATAAATCCTCGAAATTGCTCATCAAAGAATTTGTGCAAATCCCGGCATTTTTAAAAAGTGGGCGGAGCTTGCCACTGAGGAGGGAAGTCTGCATAACCCGGAGGGCGGGGTTAAAATTAAGGTTAGTCGAGATTCCCCGGTAATCTACGAGCTTTTTTATGCGATTTGAGAACGAAAAAAGCTTTTTGTACAGGGCAACGGAGGGGGCGGAGTTTGCCAAAAGAGGGGCGGGGCCAACATGAAAAACTTCCGAGCCTAAACTGATTATGTGAACACAAATTGGAACCATTGTGCACTTTCGAACTGCTATCTAGGGTGTCGCGCACCATTGCGCGACATCGT